GGAGGGAAGAGCTTCATCAGGAAAATTGGCCCGAGTGGACCACATTAGCTCACAGTGGTCAGCATCAAGTGGTGACGCAGCAGATAGCAGAACAGTAGACGTAGTGGTGATTGTGTGATCATGAAGGTGTGTCGGAAGAGCAAAATCGGCGGCGACTAATGCGTCGGTGGAGTAGTAGTCGCCTTCGCTGCACGCCTTTGCGCCCATCTCTAGCCATGTTGACTCTCATTTCGCAGACGGCGGTTCAACTGTTGCATTTCACCTACACTGAAGGTCTTAAACACTGATTTCACTTTTATCTCCCACCGAATATTGCCACTCTGAACCAACTTTCGTGATCGAATTCATTTCTTCCCTTTTAACTTTACCTTTGTTTGCACCCAATGTAGGTACTTGCTGCCTGACGTATAGTACTTGCTATCAGCTCTTTAATTACAGCTCTATGATGTCTCTTTGGCGTTTTGTGCAAATCAGTCCTTGTTAGTCATAATTCTATTACATTAGCAAGTGAATAAATGTCATAGTATAGCTTACGAGTGTTCCGTTTAAAATGTTTACTATGGACAGCCAAGGAGAAAGTGTGTCTGAACTCAGTTATTTATAGTTGGAGAATGTTAATTTGTTTGAATGCTGGCTGATCGGTATTAACTCATAATTTGATAAGGGGAGTGACATAAGTGAAAAAAGTAATTTTTTTGCGATCTATAGGGTGTACTCAATAGCCAGATGACAGTATTCCTCAGTGGAGAGGGGCAAGTTGCAGGCTGTGGCTCAGAGTGCACCGCTGATGCAGATGCATCCTAATGCAGTTTGTTGCTCCTTCTTGTAGCACCATCATCACCACCCAAAATGCTGCAGCCCAATTTACGGGCTCAAGTACATGTGTTACCGATGTGGACACTTCCAATGATAAATTGGCAAGCAATGCTAATGTAAAGGATCACACTCCCATCTTCCTAGTACGTAGTAGTTATAATGACTGAAATATCCTGGTAAGTGGATTCTCATTCAAGAAAACAAGTAAAACGAGAATGGACCATAAGAAGATTACAACAGATGGATTCAAGAAATGCGATTCGAGCGACAGTCTGGACTATTACCACGATCGCTGATCCGCCTGCTAGGCACCTGAACCACGATATATCAACTGGAAAAATTAACATGTTATTAATATTTTATTGTTTCCTTAATTTCACCAAAATATACTGGCAGTGCACCATTATATATTCAACATATTATGTGTTGCTAGTTGTCAAATCAGAAGTAACATCTCCTTGACAGAAAACGACGTCATTCAACAACGCAAAGATTCGAGTTGAATAAAATGTTGAGGCAGCTTTTGAAGGCAGTTTGAACAATGTACAGGATCAACGTACCTGAGTGAAACCATCATAGTAAGTAAAATCTGTTGTACTCATCACAAAACCAACTGGGTAAGGTGGTTCGGTTGCTATGCCCTGGTGTTTACAGCGCCTCATTTGGAAATGCAAATGCCTAAAATTAACGGGAGGGAAGAGCTTCATCAGGAAAATTGGCCCGAGTGGACCACATTAGCTCACAGTGGTCAGCATCAAGTGGTGACGCAGCAGATAGCAGAACAGTAGACGTAGTGGTGATTGTGTGATCATGAAGGTGTGTCGGAAGAGCAAAATCGGCGGCGACTAATGCGTCGGTGGAGTAGTAGTCGCCTTCGCTGCACGCCTTTGCGCCCATCTCTAGCCATGTTGACTCTCATTTCGCAGACGGCGGTTCAACTGTTGCATTTCACCTACACTGAAGGTCTTAAACACTGATTTCACTTTTATCTCCCACCGAATATTGCCACTCTGAACCAACTTTCGTGATCGAATTCATTTCTTCCCTTTTAACTTTACCTTTGTTTGCACCCAATGTAGGTACTTGCTGCCTGACGTATAGTACTTGCTATCAGCTCTTTAATTACAGCTCTATGATGTCTCTTTGGCGTTTTGTGCAAATCAGTCCTTGTTAGTCATAATTCTATTACATTAGCAAGTGAATAAATGTCATAGTATAGCTTACGAGTGTTCCGTTTAAAATGTTTACTATGGACAGCCAAGGAGAAAGTGTGTCTGAACTCAGTTATTTATAGTTGGAGAATGTTAATTTGTTTGAATGCTGGCTGATCGGTATTAACTCATAATTTGATAAGGGGAGTGACATAAGTGAAAAAAGTAATTTTTTTGCGATCTATAGGGTGTACTCAATAGCCAGATGACAGTATTCCTCAGTGGAGAGGGGCAAGTTGCAGGCTGTGGCTCAGAGTGCACCGCTGATGCAGATGCATCCTAATGCAGTTTGTTGCTCCTTCTTGTAGCACCATCATCACCACCCAAAATGCTGCAGCCCAATTTACGGGCTCAAGTACATGTGTTACCGATGTGGACACTTCCAATGATAAATTGGCAAGCAATGCTAATGTAAAGGATCACACTCCCATCTTCCTAGTACGTAGTAGTTATAATGACTGAAATATCCTGGTAAGTGGATTCTCATTCAAGAAAACAAGTAAAACGAGAATGGACCATAAGAAGATTACAACAGATGGATTCAAGAAATGCGATTCGAGCGACAGTCTGGACTATTACCACGATCGCTGATCCGCCTGCTAGGCACCTGAACCACGATATATCAACTGGAAAAATTAACATGTTATTAATATTTTATTGTTTCCTTAATTTCACCAAAATATACTGGCAGTGCACCATTATATATTCAACATATTATGTGTTGCTAGTTGTCAAATCAGAAGTAACATCTCCTTGACAGAAAACGACGTCATTCAACAACGCAAAGATTCGAGTTGAATAAAATGTTGAGGCAGCTTTTGAAGGCAGTTTGAACAATGTACAGGATCAACGTACCTGAGTGAAACCATCATAGTAAGTAAAATCTGTTGTACTCATCACAAAACCAACTGGGTAAGGTGGTTCGGTTGCTATGCCCTGGTGTTTACAGCGCCTCATTTGGAAATGCAAATGCCTAAAATTAACGAGTGATATTCAGCCTACTTTAAATGCGAGATATTCGGGGTGGTATATGTAAGTTAATGCAGTAAATAGAAACAAAATTACACAAAATGCTTAAATAACCAATTATTGATGATTAATGGATTGTTTTTTTT